TGTTATAAAAGTCGAAAAAAATTGGTTTTCTTATTTTGAAGAAGATTATAATCATATATGTAACCAACTTAATTATGGCAACATTTAAATTTAAATTAGTTAAATTTGAAAAAAAAATAAAATTGTTACAAGTACCTAAAATACAGTTTTTGCGGATGAATCATTGCTGTTTGTGGACGAGGCAGTTTCTTTAATAAAAAAAACGTGTTATTTTTGCCAAAAAATTGTCAAAACTAGAAACTCAAGGCTTCAAAATGTTTTTTTTAATCTAACTACGACCATTTTTCAAGTCAGCAAAAAATTTCAAAAATCTTGGTTCCTTTAATTTTTGGAGTAGTGTAATAAAATTGTTTTTAAAATATTCTTTGTTATAGAACGAGCCCAATTTGCGTTTGCAAGGCTACGAACAACTAAACTGGAAGCGAAGGAAGATCTGGCGTCAGTTCATCTCCCGTTTGAAGGAAATGCACACGAAAATCGAGCTCTGGCGAAGCGCTTTGAAACGCATTGAGGGCCATTTCGGTACTGGAGTAGTCGCATACTTCATTTTCCTCAAGTACCTCCTCTTTTTAAATTTATTCATATTTATCGTCATTTTCGCATTTATAATCTTGCCAACAATACTTCTAGTCAATTCCGACAACTCGACCCGTGTTAACAGCTCTAACGTCGTTTTCGATCTCATCCAAGGAACGGGTTTCATGGAACACAGCCTTTTGTTTTACGGTTTTTACCCAAATGAAACGTTTAATTATCTCGTTAATGAGAAAGTGATGTATTATAATCTTCCATTAGCGTATATTTGTATCACGGTTGTATATTTCGCAATTTCGTTGATTTCTATAGTCAAGTCGGCGGCGAACGGTTTCAAAGAACGGTTAATTGAAGGCGAAGGACAGTTCTACCAATATTGCAATTTTATTTTCGGTGGTTGGGACTTCTGTATCCATAATGAGAAATCCGCAGCGATCAAACACAAAGCCATTTATAACGAAATCAAGGCGTGTCTTGAAACCGAACGTTTGGAAGAAATGAAACAAAACCGAACTAGAGGCGAACAAACGAAACTAATCGTTGCCCGAATTATTGTAAATATTATAGTGTTAGGGGTTTTGGCGGCGTGTGGTTGTGCAATTTTTTTCATTTTTAGTAAATGTAGAGAAATGCAAAGTGATGACTATTTCGAGAGTCTTTTGTACGAGTTTTTGCCCTCGATTAGTATCGTCTGTTTCAATATTTTGATACCATTCTTGTTCAAATATTTGATACAGTTTGAACACTATAGTCCACTAGTTGTGGTGCGTTTCACACTTTTTCGGACTGTTTTACTGCGTTTAGCTTCAATTTTCACACTTTATGCCTCACTTGCCTCAGTTGTCGGTAATACAGATACCGACAAACCCGCCTGTTGGGAGACTTTCGCCGGTCAACAAATCTACAAGTTGGTTATAACCGATTTTGTGACTCACATTATCCTCACATTTGTGGTCAACTTCCCTCGAGCTTTCATCGCCAAACATGTTGAAAATAAATTCATTAAATTAGTCGGGGAGCAAAGTTTCGACTTGCCTAAACATGTCCTCGACGTTGTTTATTTGCAAACTTTATGCTGGTTGGGGTGTTTCTACGCCCCCTTACTGTCTTTCATCGCCGCAGTGATTTTCTTTTTTATGTTTTACATTAAAAAATTCGTTTGTTTGGTGAATAGTAACCCGAGTTCGACTGTGTATCGAGCTTCGCGCTCCAATTCCATGTTTATGCTTGTCTTGTTGGTGTCTTTCGTCTCGGCGGTGGTCCCCATGGCGTACTCCTTTTCCGAGGCGGAGCCGTCGCGGGGTTGTGGCCCCTTTCGGGACTTGCCTTCGGTCTGGAGTCGAGTCGAGTTTACGTTTTATTCGACTCCGGATTGGGTGCAAAGTGTGGTGGCGTTTTTGAGTACGGCGGGGTTTGCTGTGCCTGTCTTTCTTGTTTTGTTCCTTTTGTTGTACTATTTTAGGGCTGTTAATGCGGCTAATAGACAGATGGTGAGTGTGTTGAAAAATCAGCTGGTTTTAGAGGGGCATGATAAACAATTTTTATTGGAAAGACTGAGTAAGTTTATTAAACAGCAACAGGAACACCAGAAAAGGTTGAGGCATGTTGATGTTCTACAAGACGGTGATACTAATATTTCGAGCAATTAGGGGACATGTTCTAGTCATGATTTATGTAACGGACTTGATATTTAAGCTTTGGTACATAACATATCGCATTTATCTCTTTTATATTAATGTGCATCAAGTAGGTTGTAGAATTAATATCATTTAATCATGAATAATGACAAAAAAATCTTTAAGTTTACATTAAGTACACATTTATTTGAAAAAATAATTTTCAGGGAAGATTGAGGTTAGGATTATTTGAATATTTGCATGGTTGCCACCTTAAAATGATTCCTTTCAACGACTACTTGATGCACATGAAGTCGATTTGTACAAAGGAATGCTGTACGTGAGAGGATCTCTTTTTAACTGCATTTGCTTTTTAAGACTGTAGTTTGTGTTTATCAATAGTACAAAATTATGGCACAATTCCAGTATAGTTTAATGGTTTTTGAAAATGTTGACGCTTATTATACTCAATGCCAATTTGGACTTAGTGATTTTTATTTTATGAAACAAGAAAACTCCCAACATACAAATATGTAATCATCGTAATTATAGCAGGCACTTTGTGGACTATGTACTTAATGTTTATGTTGGACTACCTTTGTTCACTCCTCTGTAATAGGACTGTGTAACTGAAATAATAAAAAAATATAATTTTGTATCACTCAGTTTGTCACTCACCGTTTCAGCGACGTCAATCCAATCTAACGCCTGAATAATCTTATCGTTTTTGCTAGGGGCCTTATCCCAGTTCCAATAAGTGAGGGTTTTGAATTTGTTAGTAATGTGGAATTTTCGTTCTTCCTTGTCACTAACTGGGGGTATACTTTCGTGTAAGACTAACCCCACGTAACCATCTGGTAACTCTACTGTTTTACCTCTTAGAGGGTAACCACGGAAGGAGGCTTTCAGTGCTAAAACAACACAAAAACATTATAATGAATCAAAGCAACAAATGACTTACTTTCATCGTCTTGCACTTTTACACCACTTTCAAAGTATTTGGAGACTTGAGCATCGCAATCTGCGAGTATTTTAAAAGGCATACTTTGAACTTTTGATTCATTTTGTTGATTAATGTAGTTTTGTTTATTATCAATGTGAATGGCCATGTTGTGACTTGACTAATTTCAGTATATTTAATTTAAAATTCATTCTAAAACAGAGACAGCTTTTAACATTGTTATAATGTTTAAATATACTACAAACCGTAAAACAACTTAAACACATTTTTTAGTTAAATTTAAAAAAGGGGAAGTTTGGCATCAAATGTCAACTGTCAGTTTTAGGGACTTTCAATTTTTAAACTAAATAACGTCAAGAGTTTTCAAAAAAAATGATCTTTCCAAAATTTCTTTTAAAATAATAATGAACTTTAATTTTGTAGACAGAAATAACTAATATTTTATTACAACATCGTTAGAATCCAAAAAATTAAAACTAACAAGGGCCGCAACTGTACTTACAGCCAAATTCAAAAAAAAGTGGTCGCCAAAGCATTTCAAAAATTAATAAACAATAAATTTTGACAAAAAAAATTATTTCATGACAAATTATCATATTTTATGATGTCAAGTAATTTATTTTTGTAAATTTAAGTACGCTTATTTACACAGGAATAATGAATTTTATGCTAAAATGTCACATTGACGAAGTTTTTTTAAATTTGACTATTAAAAAAAATAAATTTGACTATGTATGGCCCTTGGGTAAGGATAGAAGAAAAAATTTACCGACATCAACGACTATAAAAATCGCCAAATTATATCGACTGTTGTCATTCAAAAATTTCATTAAATTAAGAACTACTACTTTTGTTAAATCCATGTGAACTACTGGTTGAAAAAATCACTGCCAACTTTTTTGGACATTTTTACGGTGGACAAAAATAGGGATGCTTATTTTACTGGGCACAAAATTAAGCTTTCTTTCTTGTTACCAATTTTTGTATTTAAAAAATGTACTTATTTTTTTCATATTTATTAAATTTAAAACGGAAAAAGCATCAAATGTCAGCCGTCAGTTTAGGGACTTTTAACTTTTCAATTAAATAAGACGGCGAGCTTTTAAAAAAAACACCGTTTCAAAATTGAACAACCTTTGTACAGTTACGGAATTAAAATTTCGGGCACTATTTTTCTGTCACTTCAAAAAGTAAACTATCTTTTACTGTCATCATGACTGACATTGGACAATTAACTTTTCTGTCAATGACGCTATTTTTGAAGTCAAAATGACACAAACATGACAAAAGTAAAAAATGAGGTTATTAATGTAAAGGTTGTTTTAGAGTTTACATTATGAAAATGACAATACTGTCCGAAATTTTAATTCCGCAACTGTACTGAAAAAATACACTTATTTTATACATATTTATTAAAATTGAAACGGAAAAGATATAACCAGACTTTCGCAAAATTAATATTTCTTTCTATAAACGTATTGTAACATTTTGTCTCCCTAACTTAAGTGATACAAAAAAGTAAAAGTAACTAATTATTCCTCATTGCTGCTTTTTCGGGGGCGGCCTAAACACGCCAACAACTACAGCATGGTCCCTCTCATAGGGCTCCAAAGTGATCTGTTCTTGAGGTTTTAATTGATCTGCTTGCAATCTTTTAACTTCCGAAGCAAAAACGGCTTCTGGTTGAGCAGTTGAGTCAATACACGAGGCTTTAATTGAAATGACAAAGTGTCCCCCATTTTTCAAAAAGTATTGTGCATTTAAAGCCACTATTCTGGCTTGATCAGGCTGGGCAACATCAGCAAATACTGTGTCGACCATTCCAATCAACATCCTGTATTTATGAGGGTGTCTGGCGTCTTCAATAATTGGAATAATGTTAGTTCTTTTCTTCGCTACGTTTATTAAATCACGTCCTGATCTATGTGAAAATTCCACGGCGTATACTAGTCCTTCAGGTCCAACAATATCAGAGACGTGAGACACAGTAGTCCCCGACGCAGCCCCCAAATATAATACTTTGCTTCCTGGGGGCATGTGAATTTGGTCGACTCCCCCCAAAATAGCAGCAGCTAATTTACTCCGGAATGGATTCCACACTCTGTATTCGACTTTATTTCCATCAGTCTAAAAACTAGTTATAAAAAAGGTCAAAAAAATATAATTTGAGTCCTACCTCGACTGATATTCTTTTCTCCCCATAAACCTCAGACCCGGGGACAAGATTCAACGTAACTAAAGCGTCTTCTTTGCCTTTGGCGATGAAAACCCCCTCGTGTCTGTGGGGCTCAATTACTACAGTTTTTCCGCCTTTGAAT